GTTACGCCAATCGGAGGTCACTAAAATCAATATTGAATCGGTGTGCAACTTTGCCAAAACAATGTCGGACTCTGTAGTTTTCTCTGGTCCCCTCCCCAATCAGACCAGGAGTGACATGTTTAGCCGCATGTTCTCCTTAAATTGCTGTCTGTCTGAGTGGTGTCCCAGAAACGATGTGGGCTTCATAGATAATTGGCAAACCTTCTGGAGGAAACCTGGTCTTGTTAGGAGAGACGGCATCCATCCCACTTTGGATGGAGCAGCTCTCATTTCTAGAAATATGGACAAATTTATTAAACCCCCCAAAATATGACTATCCAGAGTTGGGACCAGGAAGCAGAGTTGCAGTCTTACACGCCTCTCTGCAGCTTCTCTCCTCCTGCTACCCCCCCAAAAACCCATCTCCATAGAGACTGTGTCAGCTCCCAAACAGACAAAAAACAAACTAAAAACCATCAACAAACAACTTAAACATAAACAATTACAAAGAAAGAACAATACAGTATCCACATCTGAACCAAAGAGTAAAACAGTGAAATGTGGATTATTAAATATTAGGTCTCTCTCCTCCAAGTCTCTGTTAGTACATGACTTAATAATTGATCAACAAATTGATTTACTCTGCCTTACAGAAACCTGGTTGCAGCAGGATGATTATGTTAGTTTAAATGAATCAATACCCCCGAGTCATTCTAACTACCAGAAATCTCGAAGCACAGGCCGAGGGGGCGGTGTGGCAGCAATTTTTCACACCAGCCTATTAATTAATGAAAGACCAAGACAGACTTTTAATTCATTTGAAAGCCTGATGCTTAGCCTCGTCCACCCCAGCTGTAAAACTCAGAAACCAGTCTTACTTGTTATCATCTATCGTCCACCTGGGCCTTACACAGAGTTTCTGTCTGATTTCTCAGACTTTTTATCTGATTTAGTTCTCAGCTCAGATAAAATAATTATTGTGGGTGATTTTAACATCCATGTAGATGCTAAAAATGACAGCCTCAACATGGCATTTAATCTGTTATTAGACTCAATTGGTTTCTCTCAAAATGTAAAAGAACCCACCCACCACTTTAATCACACTCTAGATCTTGTTTTAACATATGGCATAGAAACTGAACATTTAACAGTGTTTCCTGAAAACCCTCTCCTGTCTGATCATTTCCTGATAACATTTACATTTACAATAACTGATTACACAGCAGTGGAGAGATTATCACAGTAGATGTCTTTCTGAAAGCGCTGTAACTAAGTTTAAGAATATAATCCACCCACTGTTATCATCTTCAATGCCCTGTACCAACATAGAGCAGAGCAGCTATCTGAACGCTACCCCAACAGAAGTCGATTATCTTGTTAATAATTTCACCTCCTCACTACGTACGACTCTGGATACTGTAGCTCCTGTGAAAACTAAGGTCTCTAATCAGAAGTACCTGACTCCGTGGTATAATTCTCAAACACGTACCCTAAAGCAGATGACTCGTAATCTGGAGAGGAAATTGCGTGTCACAAATTTAGAGGATCATCATTTAGCCCGGAGAAATAGTTTGCTGCTTTATAAGAAAGCCCTCCGCAAAGCCAGAACATCTTACTATTCATCACTGATTGAAGAAAATAAGAACAACCCCAGGTTTCTCTTCAGCACTGTAGCCAGACTGACAAAAAGTCAGAGCTCTTTTGAGCCAACAATCCCTTTAACGTTAACGACTTCATGAACTTCTTCACAAATAAAATTGTTATCATTAGAGAAAAAATTACCAGTAATCATCCCACAGATGTAATATTATCTGCAGCTACTCTTAGTACCATCGATGTTAAGTTAGACTCTTTTTCTCTAATTGATCTTTCTGAGTTAACTTCAATAATTACTTCCTCCAAGCCATCAACGTGTCTTTTAGACCCCATTCCTACAAAACTGCTCAAAGAAGTCCTGCCATTAATTAATTCTTCGATCTTAAATATGATCAACCTATCTCTAATGATCGGCTATGTACCACAGGCCTTCAAGCTAGCTGTAGTTAAACCTTTACTCAAAAAGCCATCTCTAGACCCAGCAGTCTTAGCTAATTATAGGCCAATCTCCAACCTTCCTTTCATATCAAAAATCCTTGAAAGAGTAGTTGTCAAACAGCTAACAGATCATCTGCAGAGGAATGGTTTATTTGAAGAGTTTCAGTCAGGTTTCAGAGCTCATCACAGCACAGAAACAGCTTTAGTGAAGGTTACAAATGATCTTCTTATGGCCTCTGACAGTGGACTCATCTCTGTGCTTGTCCTGCTAGACCTTAGTGCAGCATTCGATACTGTCGACCATAATATCCTATTAGAGCGATTAGAACATGCTGTAGGTATTACAGGTACTGCACTGCAGTGGTTTGTATCATATCTATCTAATAGACTCCAGTTTGTTCATGTAAATGGAGAGTCCTCTTCACACACTGAGGTTAATTATGGAGTTCCACAGGGTTCAGTGCTAGGACCAATTCTGTTTATATTATACATGCTTCCCTTAGGCAGTATCATTAGAAGACATAGTATACATTTCCACTGCTATGCAGATGACACCCAGCTCTATCTGTCCATGAAGCCAGATAACACACACCAATTAGTTAAACTGCAGGAATGTCTTAAAGACAAAGACCTGGATGGCCGCTAACTTTCTGCTTCATAATTCAGATAAAACTGAGGTTATTGTACTCGGCCCTGAAAAGCCTAGAAATATGGTATCTAACCAGATTCTTACTCTGGATGGCATTACCTTGGCCTCCAGTAACGCTGTGAGGAACCTTGGAGTCATTTTTGACCAGGACATGTCCTTCAATGCACATATTAAACAAATATGTAAGACTGCGTTCTTCCATTTGCGCAACATCTCTAAAATTAGAAATATCCTGTCTCAGAGTGATGCTGAAAAACTAGTTCATGCATTTATTACTTCCAGGCTGGACTACTGTAATTCATTATTATCAGGATGTCCAAAAAACTCACTGAAAAGCCTTCAGCTAATCCAAAATGCTGCAGCAAGAGTACTGACAGGGACTAGAAAGAGAGAGCATATTTCTCCTGTTTTGGCTTCCCTTCATTGGCTTCCTGTTAAATCCAGAATTGAATTCAAAATCCTGCTCCTCACATACAAGGTCTTAAATAATCAGGCCCCATCTTATCTCAATGACCTTGTAGTACCATATCACCCTATTAGAGCACTTCGCTCTTGCTCTGCAGGCCTACTTGTTGTTCCTAGAGTATTTAAAAGTAGAATGGGAGGGAGAGCCTTCAGTTTTCAGGCCCCTCTTCTGTGGAACCAGCTTCCAGTTTGGATTTGGGAGACAGACACTATCTCTACTTTTAAGATTAGGCTTAAAACTTTCCTTTTTGCTAAAGCATATAGTTAGGGCTGGACCAGGTGACCCTGAATCCTCCCTTAGTTATGCTGCAATAGACGTAGGCTGCCGGGGATTCCCATGATGCACTGAGTTTTTCCTTTCCAGTCACCTTTCTCACTCACTATGTATTAACAGACCTCTCTGCATTGAATCATATCTGTTATTAACCTCTGTCTCTCTGCATGTCTTTTATCCTGTCTTCCTTCTCTCACCCCAACCGGTCGCAGCAGATGGCCCCGCCCCTCCCTGAGCCTGGTTCTGCCGGAGGTTTCTTCCTGTTAAAAGGGAGTTTTTCCTTCCCACTGTTGCCAAAGTGCTTGCTCATAGGGGGTCATATGATTGTTGGGTTTTTCTCTGTATCTATGAAGCGCCTTGAGGCGACTTATGTTGTGATTTGGCGCTATATAAATAAAATTGAATTGAATTGAATTGAATTTGGATTTGTCCTTTTTGACAGAACCTATAGTTAGGTGACCCTGAAGCCACCCTTAGTTAGCTGCAATAGAGTTAGGCTGCTGGGGGCTTCCCATGATGCACTAAACATTTCTCCTCTTCTGAACTCTTTTCACTCACCACATGTTAGCATTAATTTCTGGCTGTCTTCCATAGTATGTTTATTGTCTTTCTCCCTTCATCACCGTCATCACTGGTCACAGCAGATGGCTGCTTCTCCCTGAGCCTGGTTCTGCCAGAGGTTTCTTCCTATTAAAAGGGAATTTTTGCTTCCCACTGTTGCCAAAGTGCTTGATCATATCACATTGAGGTGACTCTTGTTGTGATGTATATGAATAAAATTGAATTGAACTGAAAATTGAATTATTGAAGAACTTAGTTTAAATAAAGTATGAAATAATAAAAAAAGATTTTCAGTTATAATAGAGTTTTAACCCATACCAACCTTCATTGCTGAATTCTAGCAGTGGGCTTGCATGAAAGAACAAACATTTAAATCTTAGCACATGCTTAAGGAATTCAAACATGTGACCAAAGCTTCTTTGTGTGTGGTTGTGGGAATTTTGTGTCAGAATTGAGAACCACTTGAGCAAATCATCTATAGTAAAATAAAAGCAAAAGCAAAAATAAAGTAAAATAAAAGCTTTCTTACATTTAGAGTACAAAACCCTGTCACAGTGTTCTTGTCACTCCCATGGAGTCAAATAGAAGTTTTGCACAATGTACAGCATGTACAGCCTGCCAGGGACAGAAACAAGCCATCTGGTGTGTTATTTGCAACAGTATCTTAGCAGTAGCTCTTGGGCTGAAGTGCAGTAAAAAATAGAATCTGAATGATAGAGGCTGAAAAAGCCACTGGTGATGGTTCACTTGTTTGAAGTGGTCTACAGCCAGTGTAGAAATACACACACACACACACACACACACACACACACACACACACACACACACACACACACACACACACACACACACACACACACACACACACACACCGGCTGTAAGACCTGCTGTTGAGAACTGGAGGTCTGCTTTAGTCAGTGCCATTTGGGAGAATACATGCTTCCAGATGTCCTCTCTGTAATTACAGTTAGACTCAGTAAATGAGAGGTTGGATCTTGGGCTGGTCCAGGCTGAGACCCTCCCTGACTATTTAAGCTGCTTTCCAGCACTGTGCAGATTTTTATGGAAATTCTAGTCTCTGCAACCACATTTTCAAATAACATCAGCAGAGAAAGCAGAAAGACTTGAGGTAAGGTGGTAACAGCTTTCATCAGATGTCTTTGGATAATATACTTTGGTTAATGTTAATTCCATTTCTGATTTGTTACTCTAGAGGATTTCTTTTATTACTAAAGATTTATCAGAGTTATTGCTGTATTTTGTCACATGTAGTGAAGAACAGCAGTGAACATAAGCTTAAGGAAAGCAGTCATATATGAGGTAAAAAACAAACAACCAAACAAAAAAAAAGTCATCTTTTTTTCTTGCTTAGGTGTTCAAAATGTCAATCGCCCAGGCAGCGGCCAAGGCCATGCTATCTGATGCCCTGCTGCGGGATGACTCTGGGATACACCGTATCAGCCACCTGGAACTGGAGCTTCCTCTTGACAAGGTCATCAAGTTTGTGTCTGTGGGCCTTCCGCTGATGCTGGTGTGCATGGCATTTGCCCGTGAAATCTCCCTGGGTGAGCAACTGTTTTTTTTAATACTATGTCAGGACATTTGTTTTGTATTCCATTTGCTTTTGCCCTTAATTATACCCTCATGAATATTATAGGTCTTTTTTTCTCCATGCTCTTATTGGATTTTGTGGTCCTTGTTTTAGCAATGTTAATAGTCCTCCTTGTACACGAATCTTGTACTTTTTGTTCCTAAATGTCTTTTTAATCATTTGCATGTAGCTGAATTCATGATAAGGATGAGTCTCATACTTAGCGAAATAGACCTAATATTTCTAATATTACTAATATTTCTGCTGCTCTTCAAACTACCCCCCCCCCCCCCCCCCCCCCCCTAATACGGTTCTTAACTTTTTTAATCTCTACAGATTTGCAGGTTCGATAAAACAGAGTTTTATCCCACATTCCCTCTTACAATAAATATACAAGGAAATTTAATATAAAGAACTGTAAAACAAAGATATTAATTACTCAGTCATGGAAGAGGAAAGATTTAAACATCTGTCATAAAAGGAGGATTGTAACGGCTGACTCCATTAAGACCCCCTCAAAGCCTCAACAGTACATGTTATGCAACATTGACAAGACATCATGAAATTACTGAAAACAAGAAATAACAAAGGGTTTAAAACTCCATTCAGCACTTTATTGTTTTTGCTGCCATTTCTTCTGCTGTCAGAGGGGAAAATAAAAAAATATATAATTTAAGTGGAACAAGCACACAGATACTATATCCCCGGCCATTCATAACAAAAAGAGCACAGCTGACAATCATAAATATACTTGGCAGGTCCACAAGTGTATTGCTGCAGAGACTGACTGTCTTGACCTTGAACTAAACGTCTTCTCTACAGAGCCGGTGTGCAATCAGCCTGATGCGCCTGATACTAATTGAAACAGGGGATGATTGAGAGGAGTGTTCACTAACAGTGGCAAGCTGTAATTACCAGCCAAAGTTTTTCTCTAGCAGCTCCCCTCTATTTAAGTCAAATGAGAGGATGTGTTGATTAACCAGAGGAGGAGATGGGGAGTGTGTGTGTAGGACATGACATGGTCCTGAGATTCACAGCTTATCTGCTGCATCTTGGCTGCTTATCTGCTGGCTTGTCAGTTTCACAACAGTGCCTGAGTGTACTGTTGTCTGGAGCCTGGTTTACTTGCACCTGTGCTCTTAGCCAAGAAGCCTTGTTTAAAGCACAAATGTGGAGGCGATCTCCCAATATTAAGTGAGGATTGAAAGGAGGTGATAGAAGCAGGGACAGAACTTTTTAAAACTCCCTCATTTTGTCAAATGGCTTGCACAGGTAGGGAACTGAAGGGGAAAATATTGTTACAAGACTTCATGAGAAGGCATGCTCTGTTGTTTTTGTTTATATATTTTTTTATTTAGGAATTATTTAGCAATATGTAAGAAGCTGCATGAAACCATAACTGGCATGGTTAGTACATAATAATAATAATTATAATAATGCTTTCACAGCATGTCTTTTATCCAGTCTTCCTTCTCTCTCCCCAACCGGTCGTGGCAGATGGGTGCTTCACCCTGAGCTTGGTTCTGCCGGAGGTTTATTCCTGTTAAAAGGGACTTTGTCTTTCCCACTGTCGCCAAAGTGCTTGCTCATACCTGGTTGAATGATTGTTGGGTTTTTCTCTGTATGCATTATTGTAGGGTCTGCCTTACAATATAAAGTATCTTGAGGTGACTGTTGTTGTGATTTGGCGCTGTATAAATAACACTGTATTGAACTGAATTGAAAAACTCCTGGTTTCTAATCCACCATGTGGCTGTGTGGAGCATGTTCTCCCCATGTCTGCTTGGGTTCTTAATTTTAGCACTTAACTAGGACTGAATAATTACAAAAATATGCACACCCATGAGATAAGTGGGCCATGCACTATATCGTGAGGTGGAGTGGTGAGAGAAATTATATCCTGGCAGTAGAGTAGTGGCAGCATATTTGTACTTATATTGAGCTGGCCAAATGTGGAGGGTGCAAGGATAAAACAGACTCTTTCTCTTGCAAAGCTGCAAGTAGGTGGGGCACACTTTGATGTCTTCTAACTCTAGCTCTCTGTTTAAGGGTGGAGCACCCTTGAGAAATGACAGATGGGTGTGGGTGGACAATATGTGGTAATATAAAGGTGAACTAAATATAAGGTGGGTGAGCATAAATTTGGAACACAGTCACCCAGAGTTTTTCTTTTTCTTTTAAATGCCATGTTGCCACTTGGAAACATATGATTTCCACAGAGATCTATTCCAGTGAAAGGGAAAGGGCATGCAGCACCTCAGATGTACAGCATGTGTCTAGCATTGGACTTTTAGGATGGAAAACTCTGTGTGTGTGTGTGTGTGTGTGTGTGTGTGTGTGTGTGTGTGTGTGTGTGCGAGAGAGAGAGAGAGAGAGAGAGAGAGAGAGAGATTGCTACTGTGCAGTGGCTTACAGGCATATTGACAAAACAGAATCAACTGATGTTGCATGAAGTAATTTTCCACATTTTCACATCAGGTTATAGATCAATATTTGTATATTCTGCAGGGCCTCAGATCAGCTGTTTTCCTCCCAGTAACTTCACTGTGAAGCAGGCCAGCTATATAGACACATACTGCTGGGACTCTCTCATGCATCATGAGTTTGACAGTGATGGGAACTTCGAGGAGCGCTCCCTCTGGGTACACAAAGTGAGTTCAAAGATTCTGATCAAGCACTCTTGAATGTTATTCCTGCCTAGAGTGGATGATAAACTGCTGAAACCCCTGCAAAATTTCAGTCAAAAATGTCAGTGTACCACATTTCTGAGTTAAGGATTGATTTAGTTTAGTTTTTTCTAAAAACCCTTTACAAATCATTCATGCTTCTTCATTTGTAATACTGACTTATTAATAAAAGATCAGTAGTGAGACTGGCTGTTTTTTTGTTTCATCTATATGATTGGGTGTTTCTTCTCCATTTATTCCTAATTTCTGTTGTCATTGTCTGTCCAGATGTTCCCTTACTCTCTTCTGGCCATGGCCGTGCTGATGTACCTCCCAGCTCTACTCTGGCGCCAGCTTGTCATGCCCACACTGGGATCAGACCTGCTCTTCATAATTGATGAACTAGACAAGTCCTACAACCGCTCAGTCCGAATGGCCCAAAACATTCTGGATATGCGCCAGAACACTAAGAACCCGCTGACGTTTCAGGCTGAGTTGCAGCGGTAAGGGACTTATGATTGTTAGTTTGTAAACACAAGTGTTCATACGCTTTGAGTAGCTTCAGCGTATGAATATTGATTCACTCACATGTCTAGTTGCATAAATCTCCAAGGACTCATGTGATAAAACTAGGTCATTGCAGCAGCAGTAAAAAGTATCTATCATTCAGAGGATACAAAAGTGATGCTCTTCTGTCTCTTGATAAACTAGGAAAGCTAAGAGCGATCGCTTCCTCTCCCACAGCAACTACCCTTGTTATACCCTTAAGCAAAGCGCTTAGCTACCAACAGTCTCAGTACTGTTGGTATTGTGGTCAGGAACTCCTAGGAGCCAAAAGTAGAACATTGTGGTTGTGTTGGGTGGCTCCCAGCTGTGTGTATTTGTAGCAGTACGACTATGGTTATAATGCTGAGTTTGTTCTTGTGTCATTGCAGGGCCAAAAAGAAGCGGTACTTTGAGTACCCCCTTCTGGAGAGACACATGCAGTGCAAACAAAACTCGTACTTTCTTGTTAGCATGCTTTTCTTGCGGGGCTTCCTCCTCCTGATCTTCATGACTGCTGCCTGCCTGTACCTGGCCTACTTCCATCTGTCTGCCTTCCTGCAGGATGAGTTTAGCTGCTTTGTACGCACAGGGATGCTGCGAGATCAGAACTGGATCCCTGAATTGGTTCAGTGTAAAATGATTGGCCAGTTAGTCTTTCAGGTGATAAGTGTTGCTAATGGTGCCATCTATATCCTATTGGCACCTATCGTCCTCTTCAGCCTCCTTCGACTCTTTGTTTGGGATACCACCTTCATTTCTATCTATGAGGTCCTCCCAGCGCTGGACCTCATCAACAGACGACGGCTAGGTTGCCCACTGAACGACCTCAATGTCCTCTTGCTCTTCTTACGTGCCAATATAGCTCACTTGAAGTCCTATGGGCAGGTGAGGGCTTTGTGTTCTCTGGCACCCCCACAGGTGGGAAACACCACAGCACAACAAGGTTTACATGCAATGCTGACCCAAGAGGAAATAGAGGAGCGTGAAGAGGCAGCAAAGGAGCTTGCTGAGGAAGTTGGGGAGGCCAGGGAGGAAGGGAAACTCAACTTAGTGGACATCATGACTATTCTGGGAGCAGCACAGGGAAGAGTGGTGAACTGCAATGAGAAGAGGCCTCTGGTGGAGGAGAACATGAGTCTCGGTACCGTAACACTTATCTACACACTCAAACGCCTTCTGCTAGTGGCTATTTTTGTTTACGTCATTTGGGATGTACAGAAAATCATTAAGTGACCTACAGACGCAGGTTCTAAAAAGGGAATAACAAATGTTTTACATATATAGTAGGGTGGCTTTCACAGTGCTCATTGCATAGAAATGAAGGTCATGTCCAACAGGACTTTAAGGAAGCAGTTTGATAAGCAGTGGCAACTAAAGAATCCAAGTCACAATATTTTTTCTGTGTGGTTTTAAACTGCACTGGTTTTTGTCTTCCTGTATGTAACCACAGCAGAGCACCTACGTTTCTAAAAGAGTCTTTTCAAAACACTGGCTTATGCTTACATCAATAGATACGTTGATAGATAGGTAGTTATAGAGTTGTGGTACTTCCTAGTCCTACTGAATTTCCTGGAGGAACCCACCCGAGGGATTAATAAAGTTTCATCTAATCTCTCTAACTGCCCTCTCCGTCTCTTTACAGAGCCAAACCACCAGGGGTACCATGAGTTGAAGGAGACTGCACCATTTAGTCATTACTAGGCCTCCTATGGACTTAATCAATATGATAACATGGGGGAATAAGAAAGGGAAGGGGTGGGCTGAAAACAAAACAAAACAAAAACATTTTTTGAGTTATAATGCAAAAAGTTCTGGCTGTAAATGTCAATGGAGCAGGATTTGTCAGTTTTCTACAATATCTGCCACTGAATTTCTTTGTGTCTCAGTATAGGCGACTAAATTACTAAAGGACAGTGTGCAAGAGAACACTCTTTGACAACATGACATTTGTCAGAAATCAGAATTCCATAAATATACAGTCCATACTGTACACTCCTGATTTCCATCAAGACACAAAAGAATATATTCAGTGGCAGCTATGGGTGCTATTCATTTTCCGCAACTTCCATTGCATAATTTTATACAAGGTGAGGGTATTGAATATTTTATTTGATGTATTCCTGTCTTTTATCCTTTGTTTTCTGTGAATTACAGACACTTGTATTCTATATATTTCCAAATAAATTAATACTGTTTTTATTTAGTTGTGTGTTTTTTTAATCAGAATGAAACCACACGAAGTTGCAGTTTTTGTATTTTACATTTATCGAAGAGCTTCTACTCTACTACATCAAAGTCCTACTGAGCTCTTTATTAAAGGCTGACTGAGAGCCACTCATTTTAAAAGTGATTTTATTTGTATTTCACACAATTCTGTTCTTTCTTAATGCACAAATAACAGAGATTTGTAAGTAACAGTAAACACACACAAATTAATTACACTGAGGTCCAAGCCAATTCATATGAAATGGAAATCGTAACGTATAAAATTACCAAAATGTAATTAGATTCTAGACTTTACATTATTTATTATTGCACCAGTTCTTACAGGCATCACACAATACTCGTATACTTGTGTTATGTTCTTAGGTAAATTGAACATTCCAAGAAACGTGGCCCCCCCTCTCCAACACCACCCAAGAAAGAGCCAAAACTGTAGCAATCTCTCTCTTTTGAAATGCTATTTAGTCAATTATTTATCTCTAAAGGTCCCTAAGCTTCCCTACCAAACAAAAGTCAACCAAAAAACAATTTGCTTTTCTAATGTTTTTCTACTTTGAAAAACAGGAGAAAACTGAGTTCAACAGAAAAAGCTTCTCAATCCTACAAGACTGCTGCAGTAGACAATAAATATATACATTGAAAGGGTTACAAATGACCTATTTCACAAAGCTATTCACAGTTATTTACAATGGAATACTCATATTTTGTATTTTAAATACGCCGGTACATGTATTCCTTTACTCCCCAACACTGATCAAGACACACCCATGTCCCACCTGAGATAGAGGAGAGAGAGGAATCACACACACATATATGACCCAGATGTTCCTGGGTCATAACAACTTCTTTAGAATGAGATGGTGGAGTAATTGTACAGAAAAACTTTCAGTGTTTCAACAAAGCAAGTAGTTTACCCAGAGTTGTCTTTGAGTATCATTATCTGTGTGCTTCTGAGCAACCAAAAGACCCACAAGAAGAGTTGTGTCACCTTGACCGACTGTTCTATAAGACAAACCCAGAATTACTGCTGAGGTGAATTTTCCACAGATTAAAGAATGCAATTATTTTGATATAGTCAAAGACAAAAGCAGGGAGGTTGTTGGGTGGATAATGGAGACCATGGGTTCAAAGGAATGCAATGCAGATCTGAGACTTATAATGAACAAGCTCCCATTTTGGAAGTCCAATTATAAACAGTGTGTTTCAGGATTTGGGACGACTGAAGAATGTAATGTTTTTCTTCCTGTTCTTTGAAGCAGAAAGTCATGGATCACAGAGCACTTTCAGTCAAGACACTTTTCAGCTTTCATATATTCTGGCTGGATAGGCTTTCTGACTTTAAATAAAATATGCCACTTGTACTGGATACCAGGTTTCTGTATGCTAATTCCACAGGTCTCGTTTAACCATTGCACTTCATAGCACTTATCTTCCTCTAAGAGATCTAGAAACACTTATTCATGCCTTCATCACCTCTAGACTGGAATACTGCAATTCTCTCTATTTGGGTCTTCAACACTCATCTCTTCATCGCTTGCAGTTCGTCCAAAATGCCGCTGCACATCTTTTAACAGGTGTTAGAATGTATGAACACATCACTCCAGTTTTAGCAAATTTACACTGGCTCCCTGTAAAATATCATGTTGATTTTAAGATTCTTTTACTTACTTCTAAAGTTTTAAATAATATGGCGCCTGTTATTTAAACGAACTCCTCAACACGTATGACCCCAAAAGAGCACTGAGATCTTCTAGCCAGATGCTCTTAGCACAACTAAGGTCTCGATTGAAGCATAGAGGAGATCGGGCCTTCGCAGTAGCAGCACCCAGACTCTGGAATAATCTGCCAGAGGAGATTTGTACTTCAGAGTCTATTCAGTCTTTTAAATCGCGTGTTAAAACTCACTTTTTTACTTTGGCTTTTAATTCGAGTTCAGCATGAGTACTATCAGGCCTGTTTTATGTTCCATCCATCCAACCATTCGCTTCTGCTTCTCCTTTTCAGGGTCGCGGGGGGCGCTGGAGCCTATCCCAGCTGTCATAGGGCGAGAGGCGGGGTAATCTGTCGCAGGGCCCTGTTTTATGTTTTTATTGTTAATTCACTGTCTTGTTATTTGTCTCTATTAGTTTCTAATTTATCTATATTTCCATTGTTTTCTCTTGTTTTTAACCAATTGTGAGTACTTTGGTCAACTCTGTTGTTTTTAAACGTGTTATACAAATACATTTTGAATTGAATAGCATTTTTGCTGCTATAGATTTCTGTATGTTTTATTATGCTTAAAACAGTTTTTAATATTTTCATCCTGTGTTGAGAAAACTGCAATGAAATTTCATTTACTAAATGACAGCAAAAGTAATTTAGTATATTTCTGTCTGTGTAGAAAAGCAGCTCTCTGATTCAGGCCACTCGAGGGCACCATTGAGTCATACTAAAATGATGCTGAAATAATGCTGCTAAAATATTATATATATATTACAATAAAAATCTGAATATATAGAATGAAACCTGATAATATAGAATGAATGAACTTCATGTTTGGGGGTTAGGTTTTTCTGAATTCTCTGCCTCTACAAAATGGCATCAGCTGAACTATTTCAGTACTTTGTAGAGTTTGACAACTGTTCAAACTGCAAATGGTACAAATAAATTGGAGTCTTTACCTTGAACATCATATTTTTATTTAGCAACATTTCTAATGCTAATGAATAATGTTCAACAAAATATTTCTGGGAGAAGATTATGCACAATTCTTGAGGGATTTTATCAATCACTGATGGAGATGTCAACTGAGGTAACACTTCAAGCAGAAGCTGAAGCACATGATATGGGGTCATTACACCATTTTACATCTCAAAGAGGAAGGCCAAGGAAGGAAGGAAGGAGGCCAGGGATTGGTCAGTACCACGGTCCAGGATGACACAACAGAGATCCATGACCAGGGCTGGACTGGGACAAAAAATCGTCCCGGGCATTTTGACTAGAGACCAGCCCATCAGGTATTATAGGAAAAGCCATAATGCCTTTGAATGAAAGCAAACGCTGTTGTGACAGTGACGTTCACTGTCTTGTTGGGATATATGTATGATTTCTATACATTTTACACCAGATGACCACTTTGGTTGTAAGATTCGGATAATTATTTGATTTGATTTGATTTGATATACCTTTTTTTAGTCCCACAAGGGGAAATTTCATAAGGCTGCCGACCTATTGCACGCAATGGCGGCGCCATCTTACCCTCCGACCATACATACAAGACACAAAACATCACATGGGGAAGACAGGTCAGAGAGGTATAACAATAGAAAATGCACCACATGAGGAAAGATAAGGAGAAAAAAATAACTCCCCTCAGACTGAGCTCCAACAGGGAGATCAGTTTGAGAACAGAAAAAAAAACAGCTTTATTAAAAGCTAGACATTTTAAACGAGAATAAGAAGGAAAAGCATTTCTTTGTGCTCCCTTTCCCTGGAAATGCCCTACCTGCACCCCTGGGATAACTTTGGTAGACCCGCCCCTGCACAGTTACCAGCTGTCAGTTATGTAGAAAAGAATCCTGGTGTTATTTGTCTCTCAGAAACAGTTCATAACTTGCCTTTGGCCAATCCACCACCTTTCATTGTTTTTACTGTTACAAAACCCCCCCCCCAAAAACCCATCAGCCCATAAAAACAAAAAATCACCATCGGTCCACCGGGCAAAAGTCCAGCTGTGTCCATGAATACATCAGGAAGATGGCCCAACCGACTGCGTGCTCATTGAATACCTCAGACAGTAGAAACCCAAAAAAGAGGAGGAAGACGAGGAATCATCATGGAAGGATCGGCCCCTGCAACCGGTAACCTAACCTGTAATATTTCAAACTGTTACTGTTTGATTACTTACTACTATACTGTACCCTCAATTTTACAATAAATTAGTACACACCATAGCCAATTAGAAGAAGTCTTCCAAACAGGAAAGGAGCCAAATAGTCAGTAGTTCTCATTGAGCCCTCTCAGATTGAAGAGCCATTCATGTTCAGAAGGCGGTGTAAATCTTCACTTTGCATTTAACTCAGGTTTCCTTTCAAACCTGCTTCCCTTCTTCCAAGAGACTAATCTGTGTCTTTTTTTCTTCATCGAGTTAGTCAAGTGTCACTTAATTTCTTTGTATAGCTGCTAACATACAGTCCTTCTTCCCCACAAAAAAAAACAGTTGCTGCTGCACTGCTTTTAATACAATGTGACAGCACAATCTGCTAAATTAGATTTTATGAACTGATTATACATTGAACTATGTAGTGTTGACTGAGCTATTAGAGATTCATTTCTCAAAATCTTTAACGGTTTGGTGACATAGCCACAATTTCTACATTTTATTCTACTGAAGGTCTTTAAGACTGCAATAATATGTAATGTAATAAGCTATGCAATGATCTAAAACAGCAATAGGCTGAATAAACTTGATAAGCTATATCCAGAACAAGATGAATAATGTTATTGTTTACTTGGCTCATAATATATATTCTGCAGTTTTTATTATTTCTTCTTACCAGTCTATGCCAACAAAGAGTAACTTTGAAGCCAAGTACAGCTGTCAGCAGGAGATTTAAAAAAATAATGTCTATGAAACTGGAACTTTTCAACAACTTAATTGCCCAGAGGTATACACTTTCTGTCTAAACGTACAAGGTTATTGGATGGTGAATCACAAGCAGAAGACTGATCTGAAGCAGGTTTCTCACAAATGATCATTACCTTTGGTCAACCCTGAAGGCTGTTAATATCTTTTCTGCCCATGTGAAGGACACTTTGGTTCTCAAAAACAATTTACTTTTCATTGAAAAAGATGCAGTGACAATATCAAGGACATAATTAATGCAAGGTTAAAAGTGGCATGCTGAATCTTCAATCCTTTTCACTTTTATTGTTCCATTGGATTAAAAAAAAAGCTATTCTACTATGA